CTTTTTATTAAACATAACTCATTCTGCTTTCAACCTGCATATTCCATTCTTCAAAAGTTAATACATTATATTGAAAATTTTGGTTTAAAGATTAATGTTAAGATTCACTTTATCAAGTAAACGATATGTTTGGATTTTAACATTAACCTTTAATACCAAAATTTTCAAGGTATAAAAAAAAAGAATGAATATATTACACGCAAAGCGTATCTGAGAATTTAAGAATTGTGTCTGTAAAAAATAAACTATGTTATTGTAAAAACTAAACTCTCTGTGAGTTTCTGAATAATAAATTCACTGAGATTGAGAAAATGAACACCACATTTCACTACGAATGGTTGGATTGACCGTGGTGAAATGTATTTTATTTTTAATATGAATATACAAATTAAAGGAGACGTCCTTTTTTGTAATGAAAAAATGGAAAATTGTTGGTGTTGTGAATTGAAGCTCGTAATCTTTAATCTATTACCATGGTTGATATATTGAACGGTAGTGAAAAGTGTATTATTAAATAAATAAATAAATAAATAAGGCATATAAATAGGAGTTATTACTACATTTGATTTAAAAAATGAGGTAATTAGATGTTACGAAATGTATTTATCAATCTTCTCCTGACAAGAGTATGACTCAATTTATCAAACCTCTAGTAAATTATGGATTAATTGGTCCATATATGTTTGAGTGTATGAGCTCTAAATTCTCAGTATCTCCCCATAAATCATGTTTAGGAATAACATCCCTATGTTGTTTTCCATTCACATAATCAATCATATTTCTTTAAGCTCCTTCAATGCAGACAATCCATTGGTCATATCCTTCATCATAAAAATGTTCATCTTGAAAAAAGTAAGTGATTAAATTTGCAATGCCACAAATATTTATGCATCCCTACAGCCACGAGTAACAATTTTTCACTATCATCAAATTCAACATTTTCCTCCTCACTAGAACGCTCAATTGAAAAGTTTCCTAGCTTGTGACACTTGAAGCCTTCCACAAACTGATTTTAATGCCTAACTGTATTGCACCCTCTTGATCATAAATAACCTCTACCATATCCACAACCCCTACTAGAATTTGACAACTTGAGAGCTCGCTCTTCATCTTTATCCTTGTGAGCCTTCATTTTTTGTTAATGCACAAATATATTGCTTTGCAATTTATCAATGGAGAGGAAAATACAATCATTAGACTCTTATATGGAGCACACATTACACAATCAAAATTTGTATCCATGAACCTCAAGATCCTTTTAACAATCAAAATCTTAGCCATATTCTCCACATGAGTAGTCATCTTGTTGGCGATTGTAAACGTTCTTGCAAAGTAATTTGTGATGGATTCATCCGCAATCATGCCAAGAATATCAAATTCTCTATGAAGAGCTTGCAAATAAGCATACTTAACCTTAATGCAACCCTAATAATATTTACGCAAGGAGTCCCAAATGTCATGTATTGTGTTACACACAAATTATCTACTAGATTGATCAATAGATTGAAAGAGACAATTATTCACCTTAAAACCTTTGAGATTGTTATCATTTATCGCCTTGATTTGCTCATAAGTGACATTTGGAGGTTCCATAATAACACTATCTTTGATTAAGCTCCAACATTATTTTGAACGCAACAAATTTTCCATTAATTCTGACCTATGAATGTAAAATCCATCATACTTCTCAAAATTGATGGTTGTGTGAAATGCAAATGTGCCTCTATGATCAAGGATTTAAAGTTTCACAAATAAATATAGAAGAATGAGGCTCTTCGTGTAATACTATATTTTAATCAAATATAATCAAGCTACCCTATCAAGCTTAAAAGACTTTTTAAAGAACCTAAGTTATTTTTATTTAAATAAATAAACTTTATAAAAAAATTGAGTCTAACCTTTTTATTAAACATATTAGGTCAATTCAAACTTTTTTGATAGAAAAACCCAACTTCATTAATAGCCAAACCAGCAAGAAATACAAATATCATGAGGCAATTGAAATGGAACACGCTCCATACATAGCCTAAACAATTCTAATAGAAAACACTACATAATCATAAGAGGCATTATACATAGTTTGTTCACAAGTTAAGGCACAACTAAACCAAAAGCAACAATATTTCTTCCAGCAATCCATTCTCTTGCAAGCACCATCAATAGTAATGTGGGAGAGAATTTAGAGTCTTTTTCCAAATCCAGTTGCGGATGATTTCTTTGACATGTTCTCACATATTTTGACTATTTTTGGTCTCAATATTGCTAAACCTTCTTGAGTCTTCACAAGTTAATAGGTAACTAGAAATATTGTTGTAGTGGATGTTCAACACAAAAGCTTCCTTAGCCACTATGAAATGTCAATAAACACACATAAACATACTACACAACCTAAAACTCTTTTGAGGCATTTTCTCAAACACAAGTGTTCATTCTTAAACCTTAAAAGACTAAAACACAACACATGTAACACATAGACGAAATGAATCAGCTCTGCTATAAGAGATAATTTCTTATTGTAAAACAACCATGACGGCTTTGGAGGTGGGCTAACGAATGTCAGCATCGAAAGAGAAGCTATAGTGGAGAAATGTGCATCAACCATTCTTGAGTTTGAGGTGTCCAGAAAACCTTTAAAAAGCTTGTCATACCTTAGTGGTGGTGGCTGCAAAAAGAGAAAAAGAGCCTTGGGGCTGTTTGTGGTGGAGAGTGAGGATGTCCGATGAGAGGCTTAGTTGTGGTGGGGACGTGATAATGAAGATGGGTGGAGGGAAGAGTACTCTCAAAGGAAGAAGAGATGACCACTATAAGAGTCTGTTTGGTTCAACGGAGGGGAGGGAAGAGATTTTAATAACGGGGAGGGAAGTGAGGGGAGAGGAGAGATTTTAATAACGGGGAAGGAAGGAAGGGGATAGATTTTTATATAACACTCATGCTAAATAAATTTTTAAAAAACAATATTCACAAAAAAAAATTGTTAATTCAATCAAAAACAAAATATTTAATATTTAAAATACTCTAAAATATCTTAAAATGAAAATAAAATATTGATCAATTTCATAAAATCACATTATATGATCAATAATCATATGAACTATTTTCTCATCTTGATGATCTATTTAATCCTATAAAATATTTATAAAATTAAATTTTGCATAATATATAAATCATACTACAATTATATATTGATATATAATACAATACAACAACTTATAAAACAATTAAGTTATTACAAACAAAATATTAAATAAAAAGAAATAGAATAAAACACATGAAAAAAATTGAGTCATAATGATAAAACTAATGGAGTTGTCGTTAAAAATATGGAGGAATTTTAATAAGTTGACAAAAATTAAAGTATAATATTAATAAAGACAATTTATAATTCTATTAAAGAAAAGTGACGATAATTTTGTAAATAGAATTCTTCAATTTGAGGGAACAAAAAAGTACTCTAGAAGAGATTTTGATTATCTCAAATTCCCTCACCTCCCTTTCAAAATTCTCCAATCAAATAGACTCTAAAGGTGAAAGAAGATGACCACCATAGAGGTGGGAGATAGCCACCAAACTTTAATGGATTAGAGGAAAATTTTCTAAAGAAAAGAAAGAGCATCACTCTATAGAATTTCTTTCTTTCTTAAAATCAAACAACAATTATGATTTTTTATCAATTCAAACTTTAAATAAACTAAATTATAGATCCTTTATAAGAGAGTCTGACATATTTTTATCCCTAAGGCTTTGTTGATGAGATCCAGATCTTATAAATGGGATGTTTTGTTAATCTAGCCCAAGAAAGACTCCAAAGAAAAAGGTTGGTTTTGAAAGAAAAAAACATATTTTTTGTTTTAATATTGTTTAAGTAAACTTAAAGGTTCAATACAAAAAATGAAATAAATAATAATGACCACCAAATTAAACAATTTAAAAGATAAATATAATGAAATTTTCAAATAATCAAATTTAAGACCGTACAATAATAAAAAGAATAGAGGACAAATATTCTAACTAATACCTTCTTGATTACAAAAGATAATAAATAAAACAGTAACAAAACTAACACCTTTTGTTACTGTATAGTAATAAAAGAAATAATAGAAGAATAATAGAAGAATAATACTAACGTTTGTTGACGAAATTTAGATCCTAAAAGATGCTTATATTCAAATGAGAGAACAACTCTATAGGTTTTATTCTTGGATTTAATACAGAAAAAATAAATTATCTTCCTAATAATTTCCAATTATCTAATGTGTTTCAATTTCCAATTATCTAATGTGTTTCCAACCTATATTTTATCACAGAAAAAAATACACATGTTCTCACATTTGATCACATTAACATATATTTTATTCCAAAAAATCATGTCCCATAAAATAAACAAAAAAAATCATTCACCCATGAAAAAAATGCTCTTCCCACTGACCATAATGAAACCAAAAAATCAAATTTCAAATCAAAGCATAACTCAATGTTCCCAACCTATAATGGCCGGTGACCTGGTCCCCAAATTCCAACATTAAGATTCCTCACGGAAACATAATTTCCATGCACACACCATCTTTACATTTTCCACAGTAGGAAAAAAAATCATACAATATATAAACTTTATAAACATAAATAAAAGCATCTAAAAAATTCAAAGATATGTATATTCTTCTGCCACTTACCTTGCTCATACGTATTCCAATTTCCACCCTCTGGACCACCCTATCACAGAAAAATAAAATTCATCTACAAAAAATTTACCAGAATCTGACATCTACAAAGAGACAAATAAAAGAATAATAGTATTCAATTAAATATATAATTCAATATAATAGAATAGAATAAAATAAAATTTCCAGAGTGAAGAAGAACCCAACAACAAAAAAATGCCACTATCCATGTGGCCATGACATGTACATCATCACCTAGGTAATTTCAAAAAAAAATATTTATCTTTTTTTTAATTATTTTTGTGATGAACATGCATCATCAATGTGATTATGAAAACCCAACTAAGATAGATAAATCTCAACCGTTGAATTTTTAACGGTGAGACAAACGGGACAAACACGGAAACGCGCGTCGCATTCGGTGCAAACACATAAATGACGACACGGCAGCACAACTACCGACGCAACCCGTTTTCCACATCCTCTACATTTTGGACCCGACACAGCCCTTTCCGGGTCAATATAACCCGATTCCGCATCTTCCGCGTGTCCTTCAACACCTAGCGCGCACGATAGCGCGCAACCTTCTTCACCTCTGTTTTCTGCGCCGGTGCTCATCATAGCCTGATGGAGCTGCGTTTGGAGAGATATAGCCGTTGCTTCCTGCGCTTTCGCTTTGGCTTGCCAAATTTGAGATTCGGCTCTAAGCTGCGCCGCGCGTGATTCTAGCTCTATGTTCCTGCGCGTGGCCTTTTCTATTTCGATTTCTTTTTCTCTTAATCTACGCGCCACCGTTTCTTCTGCTGTTTTTATTATTGCCCGGTAGTTTCTCTGTCTTTTTTCCTCTAATGTCCGTTGTAACTCTTCTCCCTAATAAAAAAAATATTTAAAAAAAAATCATTTTTCTGAAATAATTAAAATAATTAAAATTTCATAATTATAAAAATAAAAGTATATATAGATATATACCTGGGCTTGAATAAATTGGTCTATTTCATCTTTTTGTTGTTTGATTTGTGAGGCTAAGCCATGAGACAATAGAGATAAGAAATGAGATGTATGATATCCATGTTGCTGTGGATGCTGCTGCTGTTGCTGCAATTGTAGTCTTTGTTGTTGTTGTTGTTGTTGATCGCCGAAGGATAAACCCAAACCGGTAGAAACAATTTGTTGTTGTTGTGGTTGATTGTGGAGTTGAGTGATGTCTATGAGACGAGGAGAATGAGATTGTAAAGAGAACGGATTCATGATATTATGAGATGATTCTCTTCCTCTTTTTCGAGAGTTAGCACCTGTTGTTTCAATATCAGACATTTTGTTTGTTCTAACCAGAAACATATTTAAGAAATAAAAAAATGTAATGAAAAATGATAATACCTGGAGTGTTGAACAAGATCATATTAGATTGATGATCAGGTTGTTGTTGTTGTTGTTGTTGTTGTTGTAATGAAAAGTCATATTCAGCATCTTGGTTGTTTTTGGTATTGAGAAAGAGTACATTGGAAGGGTATTGAGCTTGAACAGCCATTGAATATGAATAGTTAAGAGAGAGAGAGAGAGGGAGAGAGGTGTGTGGGAAATTGTGATGGTGTAGGAATAAGGTGGGAAATAGATGAAGGAATTAAAGGAGGAGGAAGAGTAGTAATGAGAAACACATAATAAGAATGAAAGAGAGAGAAGATGGGTTTGTGTATATGTAACGAAAGACGGACTCTTCAATAACGGAGAGGACCAAAATTAAATAAATGAAATGAAACAGCAACACCAGGCACCACCACTACTAGTACTATGTTTGTTTCTTATGCTTCATTGTTTTCACCTACTTTGCTTTCTTTTCAAATTACACAATTCACATTTCTTTGCTTCTATTCTTCTACCTTCACAAACAACAACTCATGTCCTTTTCTTTATTATTCTTTTCCTTACACCTATTTTTAATTCTTTTTTTCAATCATATCCTTTTCTATTTCATTTTTACTAAATTTACATTTATTACTTTTCTTATTTTTATTCACTAATATCTATAAATAACTCATTTTCTTTATATTTTTATTTTTTTATTCAATTATTCAGAATAATATATGAATATATAAATCATCAAATTTAAGATAGATGATTAAATTTTTTTATTACCTTTTGTTTATATATGCCAACTATATAACTGTTTTCAAAGCTTTTCACCAAAGTTACCGTCAATTGTTTTTCATTTACCTCGTTTAAAATAAGTTTTTCTATAATAAAATATATCACGGTATTTCCTAGGTGTTTAAAAGGTAAGTAGTAAAAATGAATAAAATTTTGTTTTTCCTTGGATGGTATTTCTTTATAAAATTAAATGTTATTTTTAAATCCAAATAACAGTTAATACAAGCGTAAAGTCTCAATTAAGAAATTTAATAAAAATAAAACGCCCTTTCTTCTAATTTAGTTATCTTTTATTTATATTAAAAAAAACTTTTACTAGGTTGAGTGTTCAATGCTATAATGATAACTTTTTGAATTCTTTTCATAGAAACTTTGATGAGTGATGAATAAATCAAATTATCTCCTATTTAATTGCAGTATTGTATTGATTGATTTTCTTTCTTTTCTAATTTTTTGCTTCTTGGATTGGATTTAACATAAGACTGTTTCAATTAGCCAAAGTTTAACTTAGCAAAATTGAATCCCAATGGGATAAAACACATTAGAGATAGAAGAAATTTTCAAACAAAAATTTAGCTGTAACAAAATTGACTATTTTAACAAAAAAACAAAACAAATTAATGCTATTTTGGCTTAAGCATTTTGCATCCGTTTACAATTTCTTATTTAGTAATATTGTTACATCTCATTTAACTAAATCAGCAAATCTTAGTTTTATTCATTATAATATTAATAAATTGTTTTCCTAAAACAAATAAGTTTTATTGATTTTAAATTTCTTGAAGGTATAATAAGGTATAGGGAGTAGGTTATGATAGGTTAGTTATCAAATACACCTAAAAAATTGAATAGCCAAATAAGGATATAAAGTACAATTACTTTTAATGTTAAATATTTTAAACTATATTTAATGAAAATATATTATAGTTGAAGTGTTTTAACTTTAAGTTTTTGAAGGCTCTATATAAATTAGTCATTGTAATTAAATAAATATAAATTTAACTTTTGATATTTTATTTAAATATAATTTAATTATATCAAATTTTCATTTATGTAAAGTACCGTTTTTTATATTGAAAAAGAAAGACATTTGAATTTGAATTAGAACGCATTATACCTTTTTTTTTAATACTATATCTATATGTTATAAAAAAAAGAAAAACTCTTATAGTAAAATTATTTTCTATACCTATTTACAGTTTTTTTTAATTAATGCTAAATTTTCTTAACTTAATTTTATATTTTATTTTAGTCTTTTATTTAATAAATGTTATAATTAGTTCTTTAATAGTGATTATATTAACCAATTTAATCATTTTTGTTAAATTGACTGAAAATGCTAATTAGGCTGATATAGCATGACAACAAGACTTAACTTTCATTAGTGATTCAGCATAGACTTATATTAACGTCGTGAGCTCCATGTTCTTCCATTTTAATGTTGTATTGCATTTTCTAAAAAACATTAGGACTATTATTCATCTTCTTCCTTCATCCTTCTTTCAAATTTCTTCAAGATTCATCTTCATCCAAACCATCATCTTCATAATGTCAATGAATTCCAGCACCTATTCAAAATCAAACAACCAAAATTGTGAGTCATTTAGATTTGTGGTCATAAGAAATAAAAGGAGGGATTGTTGGTGCCATAAAGAGTGTATTATTCGTACTGTTACATAATTGAACAGTGTGAACGTTGGAGAAAATTTTTGGGGTTGTAGGAATTACAAAAATCAAATGGAAAAGGGATGCAACTTTTACAAGTGGGTAGATGATATGTTGATGGAAGAGATTTGAAGATTGAAAGGCAAAGGAAGAAAATATTCAAGTTGAAGAATGAGGTTTTGAGCACAAGAAGAAGGTTGAAAATTGCAATGATGTTTGGCATTATTAGTTTAGGGTTTAATTTAGTGTTTTTTTACCATGCATTTCAAATAGGGTTAATATGTAATTTGATGTTATGAAACTATGTGTTTCAATGTTGGTTTAAAATGGGTTGATCAAAACAATGATAAATGTGATTTGTGTTATCAAACGTGGTCTGTAATGAAACTCTATTTTATCATTTATGTTATAACAAAGATGTTATGTGTTATAAAATATGGCCTGTAATATTGCTGTAAATTAATGAATGAAACAAAAATATTAAATAAGGGATTTAACTGAAACAATGTAATACATAAGGGACTATGTTGAAATTTAGATGATTAGTAAAAGGGTTAAATTGAAATAATTAAGTTTTATGCTTTAACCAAACTGTAAATACACTATCTATGTTGCATGTTATTTATCAGAACCAGAATGTTGTTTGTAGTTTATCTTAAAGCAAACACAATCAAAAGATAAATTAAGGAAAGAACAAAATGTTGGTTGACTTGATTCCAAAGTTAGCTCAATCAACTCTCATGTCTAGATTCCAAAGTTAGATGACTTTAATTGTGTCTCACCTCTTATATTCTCTGATGCATCTCTAGTCCTCTTCTTTTTTGCTCTTTCTGGTTGTACTGAAAAATCTCTCAAGAAGAAAATGTGGCTCAAGGCCATGAAATAAGAACTTGAGGCTACATAAAGAAACAAGACACGAGAGTTGACCGAGCTTCCAAAGAATAAGAAAGCCATCAGCGTAAGACGGATTTATAAAGTGAAACTAAAGGTAGATAAATCAATTGACAAACACAAAGCAAGGTTAGTAGTTAGAGGATTTTTATAGAAATCTGGTATAGACTACTTTGAAGTGCTTTCACTCGTAGCTAATCATAAAACAATCAGACTGGTGTGTTATAACCGCTAACAAAAATTGGCCTCTGATGCATTTAAATGTGAAATTAAAATTTCTTAATGGCCATTTACAATAGAAAGTTTATGTATCACAACCTCTAAGACTTGTGAAAAAGAAACAGGAATGAATGGTGTACAAGTTTCATAAAGCCTTGTAAGGACTGAAACAAGCTTCTAGAGTCTGGAATCTAAAAATTGATTCATTTTTCAAGCTTTAAGGATTCAGAAAATGTGAGATGGAGTATGGATTTTATGTTCAAAATACATCTGATAGCAATATGATTATGGTGTGTCTTTATGTTAATGACATATTGCTAACCAGAAGTTGTTTATAAGATATAGATAAGTTCAAGAAGGTCCCGATGAATGAGTTTGAGATGAGTGGTCTAGAAAATATGACATTTTTCTAAGGATGAAGATTATGTACTATGATAAGAGTATAATCTTGCATCAGTTGAAGTATGAACTTGAACTTCTGAAGAAATTAGAGGTAATGAATTACAAGTATGCAATCACATATGTTGAAACAAATTACAAGGTAGACTCTGATGTTGAGGGTTTGATGTAGATGATACACCTTTCAAACAGTTGGTAGGCTCATTGAGATATCTCTATAATACCAAACATGATATTTACTATGCAGTTGGAATGACGAGAAGGTTTATAAACAAACCAACGTGGTCACATTATCAAATTGTTGTCAGGATATTGATGTATATTAAGTGGACTATAAGATATGGAGTTATGTTCCCCTTTGATGTTGAATCTGACCCAGAGTTGATATGCTATTTAGACTCTGATTGATGTGGAGACAGAGTTGACAAAAGGAGTACTTCTAGATATTTCTTTAATTATCTAGGAGGTCCTGTTTCTTGGTGCTCCAAGAAGTAGCCAATTGTTGCATTGTCAAATTGTAAAGCTGAGTACATTGCAGGTGTTTTGACTGCCTGACAAGCTGTGTGGATTTTGAACTTGCTGCAGGATTTGAATATCAAGGTGAGCAAGCCTTTGAAGTTGATGATTGACAACAAATTTAACTATAAGTCTTGCCAACAATTCAGTGTTGCATGGAAGAAGCAATCATATTGATACAAAGTTCTATTTTCTGAGAAATCAGGTTTATAATAGGGTGTTTGAAGTTGTGCACTATAGCACTCAAAAGCAGTTGACAGATGTACTGACTAAGACTATCAAGACTGAACACTTTATCCACTTGAGGGATGAGATTAGTGTTGTAGATTTTTGAGTAGTTGAATATAAATTAAGAGATGGTGTAAATGTAATTTCATTTTCAGCTCAGTGTAACATCTTTAGCTTAGCCTACGTGACATTTTATTTTGTGTATTTAAACAACTTTGTAATTGATTTCATAAAAAATTCAAAACATAATTTCAATCTTCTGTTATAAGTTAGTTACGTCTCTCTTCTCTCTCTTTCATCTTCATCATCTTCATCTTTGTCTTTCTTGTGCACCAACAATAATAAAATCTTTGTTTATATATGAGACGAGAGGGAATAGTTGTTTAAGACTTTATTTTTTTTAATGATTAGAAGGCTAAAGAAAAAAAAAAGAAAAAAAATGAGGAACTACCATCTCAAAAATGA